AGTTTTACCATTATTTATCTTCAATGCTGAAGTCCCAGTAGCCATAAACAAATGTTTACTTGGTGCTAATATAATTTTGCAAGTCAGTAGTGGATAAGTAAATGGAATTTGATGGCTTTAAAATAAAAGCATACATGGCCTCCAATAAAGGATATTAGCTACAATGTAAAAATCAACATGTCAATTGGGAAATTCATAGCTCAATCCAACGGGTAAACATACAAATGAAATGTTGGATAGCACAAAGAAACAGAGCTAATGTTGATATTAATAAATTTCTCACAGGAGGCTCTGTCTCCACATCATATTTCAGCACTCGGAAACATTCCAGCCTCTCCAAAAATAATGCATAAGAACGCACCCAGGCAGAATAATCCCATGCATTTGGACTTGAGTCATCCTTGAAATGGCCCAAGTTAAGCACATGGTAGCTCTTCTTGGGTTCAACCTCTTTCAATGCACGATAGATTACTATCAAAGTTTTTAAGGCAACCATATTTTAGCTCCCATTTTTCTGGCTTGAAGAGACGGCCCAAGCAGAATAAATACAAGGGAAATTTTCACAATTAAGATATTTAGTTTTACCAATTTCAGATTTAAGAGATTATGATTAAAATTTCAAATTTCAAAGTTTTTTAATTTTAATTTATAAATAAATTAATTAAATATATTAAGGTCACAATTCCATATAATTTGGTCACAAATTCCATATAATTGGTCAAAAATCACAATTTTTATATGTTACAAATAATTATACGGTCACAATTCAAAAAATTTATAGATCACAATTTGTTCATCGATAACAAATCAAAAATTTATATGTCACAATTTATTCATCGGTCATAAATTTACCAAATTAATAATCACATATTATTTATTGATCACAAATCACAAATTTTATAAGTCACAACTTATTTTATGGTCACAAAATATTATATTAATTGATCACAAATTATATTTAGGTCACAATCTATCCAATTATTGATATCAAATTAATAAATTTTTAGGTCACACAGTATTTATTGATCACAATTTATCTATTTCATTGGTCACATATTGTTTATTGGTCACACACCAATCAATTTATTGATCACAATCAATCAAATCATTTATGATCACCACCAACACAACACAACACCACCACCACTAACACCGCGAAAACACACCACCGTCGCCAACAACAGAAACGCACCACCACCACCTTCAGAAAACGACGCCATGACTATCACACATATCTCGCCGCCGTCCCCACAAATGCATACTCCAACACCACACACCACCTCCACCAGCAACTCCAATCAACCACCGCCTACTAAAATCTGGGATTTCTTCCAACACTACCACACCCACAAAACAACACAACCACCGTGCGAAAAATCCCCAGACCATCGCCACCATCATACCAACTAGAAACGGATGCAGAAGAGGAAAAAAAAATAAAACGACGATGGAGTAAGGGAGATGAGCGACATTCACAATGAAGCGCCGACAGTGTCAAAGAGAGAGAATGGAGAGAAAAGAAGAGAGAGAAGGCAGATCGAAAAATAGAAAGCCGTTCTTAGTAGCTCTTGACGCTGCAACGTCGGTCGACGCATCTCCTTCGTCGCTGGTTGCTGGAGTTTGAATGCGTCGCCGGTTGCCGGAGAGAGAGAAGAGGAAGAAAAATGAAGAAGGAGAAGAGGAAGATGAAGAGAAATGAAGAGAGAGAATGGAGAGATGAAATAAAATTAGGGTTTGAGTGGGTATAATATTTAATTATTAATTTAATATCTGAATTGTGAAAAATGAGATCTTATATCTGATATTTGAAATTGAATCTTGAAAACTCTTGATTTGTGTAATTTCCACTTCCTCAAATGTGTGTTTGAGTATTGAACGATAGCACCAATTGTGAGCCATCGAACTAATGTATAAAGTTGCTCAAGAGGTTAAAGAGTTAAATCTCATGTTAGATTGACACTTGAACAAGACAATAACTTAGAAAAAAAAATTTTAAAACCAATAACTAGATAATTATTAATTTGAATTTTGACAACACCTACTAGATTTTTCAACCTAGCCCGTAGCTAAATTTTTTAATAACAATTTAAATTTAAATTAAAAATTAATTTTAATCGCGTATTTTATGGAATCATAACTTTTATTAACATTTCAACAAACACATCTCATCAATTTTTATCAAGATTTACTTAAAAAAATTTAATTTTAACTATACCTATATTTCTAATGTTCATAAATTGTTTTTAATCGATCAAATCACATTTTGATTAGTTAATATAAACCTTCTACAAAAACATACAAAAATATAATTCTGTTTATATTCATATCGATTTTTCTAAAACTTTCATGCTAAGTTTTACATTACAAAATTTATTTTTCTTAAATTAGATAAATTGTTCAAAGTTATACAAAATGTGTGATTAAAATTAATAATCGACTTTAATTACAATTTATTAGTAACTTTTTAAACTAATCCAAACAACAGCCAGTGATGGTACCCCATCAAGGTTCTAGAATATTAATTCTACACACACAACACTAAAAAATCACCAAAAAATACAATTGGATATATAAAAGTAGTAATATCTGGCACATGGAATGTTCATGGCTCCTGGAAATGATTAGTATATGATTTAGCTTTGTAAATAAGTTATTATAAATAAATATTTAAGTTGTACCAACTTGTTTACCAACTTTTCTGACTATCTCCAAACCTTTTTCTTGACATTCACAACTCATAAATCTGACAATCTGAAAAATAAAATATATGAAAAAAAAAAACTAACCAACCACTAATTTATTCTCTGTACAGAAAAATAAAGTTTTAACAAATCACTCTCCATACAAAAGAAAAGCATGAAAATAAAATCCATCTAATAGGACATAACTTGAAAGCAAATGTTGCCTGTTTTTTGTCACACAAAAGCTGCATGCATGTGGCCTGAATAATTGCATGCCTAGGCCCCATTTCTCTTCGATCGTTAATACGTGTTTGATATGTAATATTAATAGATAAGACTCGACGATCGCCTTTAATTGTTATCTAAAGCACGTTTAATTAGCCCGAACAACTCACAAATTAACCAAGAACCACACAAAGTAAAAGAAATTCAAACCTGTCACATTATTTCAAGAAATTTGAAAGGATAATCACTTCTTTTTGTTCTTGTCCTTGCCACCAGAAAAGATCGAGCCGAATCCGAAGAGATTTGCAGGAGGAACATTAATAACTGGATTAATTCTAATCCCATTAATGTTGGCATAGTTGGAAGTATGAGTTTTCTTCAATGGAGGCCTTTGATGTGTAGTATTTGAATTTGATGATACAGATTGTGATTGTTTAGCTGAAGAACGCTTACCACTTGATGCTGAACCTGTTGAATTGCTTCGAGATAAAATTGGCAAAGGGCATAATGTTCTAGCATAACCACTGCCACAGTTTAAACTCGCACTGCGCTTGAACCGCCAAAATGACTTGGAAGAATTTTGCTTTTCTTCTGATTCTGTTGGAATTTTCTTCGAGCTCTTGCTAGAGTCGAGAATGTGATCGTAGACTGGTGTAGGAATAGGAGGTGGTAGCGGTGGTGAAACTGGTGGTGCCGCAGCCGGGGCTAGTCTTTTCTTGATTTCGATGGGAAGTATCTTTCCATTGAAAAAAAGTTCATCGGCTGACGAAGATTCTTTCTCAAAACTTTCCCTAAAAACACAAAAATCAAAATCCATACCTTCTGATGAACTTGATCCTATGTATTGTTCCACTGGCACCGCATCAGATTGAGAAAGATCATGAGAAAATGAGATTCTGGGACTCCTTCCGACACTCGGACTATCCGGGAAAACTTCAATCGCCATCGCCTAGCTGATTTCTCTTCACTGATCAATTATGGCTACAAGCCTGGTTTTATACTTCAAGTCACTAACTTTTTAAGAATCTAGAGACCGTAATAAAAAATCGTATCGCCAAACGGGACTATTTGCATGGAAGTTTGATTTCTTGGGATCAAGAAGCGTCGACAGTCAGAGAAATTATGAGTAGAAACAAGGAATTTTAAAGAAAACTTGATGGTGAAGAATATTATTTAGATAAGTAATAAGTGACTTATAAGTAGTTTGAAGAAGATTTTTAAGGCGACGTGGGGAGATGAAACTAGATTTTATAAGATTTCACAATGTGTGTGTGTGTGTGTGTTTGGAATTGGTCGGTTTTGAATGGAAAAATTGAGAAGCTGTAGTTGAAAACGGACCAACAAACACTAACACGATTTTGCTTAGTGCTGATGAAATGTGACATTATACGGACATTATTGAACTATACTTGTGATGAAAACAAACCAAAGAAATTATGTGGAAACATTCGTATATATCTAACAAGTAGCCCACTTATTCGATGAAATTGATTTTCTGATAAATAATTGGACAAACTCAGTTTTTTTACACGGGAGGGAGGATTCTGTTGAATTCATAGATCAAATGATTTCAATATAATTTGTGGGACATAATTCAATCAATAATTATTAAATAAAAGGATAATTACATGAGGCGAGTTTTTTTTCTTTTTTTTGGGTAATTGTCGGAGCGAAACTTCTATTACATTTTCACGAGAAAAACATGTAAAGAGCCCCATTTTTCACGAGATTCTTTTAAGTCACATATATGTATCTTTCGATCTACATAGTTTTCTTATAAGTCATTTTCTAAAAGAAAAAAACTGAACCAGATACTTGAACATATTCGTAATTTTCAACTATGAAGGGTGACTAAATTCTTTGATTGCAGGACCATTGAAAGCACGCAGAGGGCCCAAAACCACTGCGAACTGTTGCATTGGTTGGTACTAGGCACCCAACTATATAGCATGGAGGAAACATTGGGGTAAAGCCGTAAAGGATCCAATTAAATTAAGACCACCACACACACATATATAATGATGATCTGCTGTCCAACGGTGAGCAAGAGTTACTATATCCACTGTTAGTGTGATTGATCTAGTGTTGCCACGTCAACGGTGAAGATATGATGTGACGACACTAGATGTTACCACACTCACAGTGGACATAATAATTCATGTTTACTGTAGGCGGGAGATCAAACTCACACATATATACATAAATTTTACATTCACATTTTAGTTAGATGTATGGACCATATATATAAGTTGGGTCCATGAAAAAGGCCACTTGCCATGTGAAGAATCACTTATTAAAGACCACTCAAATCATCTTGTAACATCTTCCACTTCAATGTCTCTATCTCATGGCCCTTTGATCATGAATTTTTAATCCATCTATCATCTATGCCACTTAAAAAAGATTCATCTATTTCCATTTTTCATTTACCCACTCTTGCTCTATATATAAAGTTACACCCTAAAATTCCCATCATTTACTTGCGGATTGGACCGTCTAGATAATATAATAATTTTTCACCTTGTACGTGCAACATTCATTTTTTAAATGATAGCTAAGACGATAGAAGAACAAAATATTTATATTAAATAAAATATGATAAATGATATTTAGAGTCCTTGAAAAGTTAATTAGTTGGAATAATGATTATAAAAGATTATTGGGGAAAAAGAGAAAAGAGAAAAGTGGAAGATGCATTAGAAAGAAGAAAAAGATTATCTTAAAATGGTTTGTGGATATGGATTGGATATATTCCTAGACAAACTTGGTAATCAAAATTTGTTTGGTCTCTTTCATAGACAATATTTTAATTATAAAAGAGAAAGGCTTATTGTTTTATTCATTGTATCTACATAGTATTCTTTGATTTTTTTTAATTTTGAATCGACTAGAGAAAATATTATATTGATCTTCTGAGAAAAAGAAAAAAAAAATTATTTAACTTTTTTGATAGTTTAATTTCTACAAGGCAATGCTTGTGTACACAAACATGTAGATCAAGAAAGTTCTAAGCCACATTTGACTTTGTAGTTTGATAATTGTTTGTCTCCGTCATGTTTGATTAATAGAATTGATCTCTTACCTACAGACTACAGTGGACATGAGTTATGTCGTCCACCCGTTGATGTGACGTTCCCATCGAGGATCAAACTTTTTTTTTTTTAATTTGTCAAAGAAAAGTGACCTGTCGACCCAGGAATCTTCTGCTTTATAATGAGACAAATATATCCTCAAGTTTCAATTAATTGTTGGTCCCATTTTTTAAAATTCTTTTATTTAATTCATTTTTATTATGTATTTTATGAGTTGAGATCCACAACTTTCTCAACCCTTTAACCAAAAGTTTATTCGCTTTTATAAAAATTTACTAAAAATATAATTTTAAGCAAATCAAACAGGGGCTAAATAGAAAAGAAATAGTTTCCACTCATCCGCACCAAATTCTTACCATAACATCGAAAGCCTGTTACATAAATCTTAGCATTTTAGTTATAAATCACCAAATAGGTTAGTGTCAACAAAAGTTTTTCTTTGCATCTCGATTAATTTTACTTTTTCACAAGTTTGCGATCTACAAAGTATGATACCTTATAACTTTACGTTTACAAGTCATTTTCTCCTTCACAAGCTCACCCCAAAACAGGAAAAAAAATGGAAAAGGAAAGCTTCTTCCTTTCAATAGTGAAAAAGACAAGGGAAAAGAAAGTTTCATATTGAATTTGGAAATCAAGAGAAACTCATAGAAACTTTTCTTGCGAGGAAATCCGTATCCACCTAGACAAATTGGGTTAGCACAGAATTGCAAGCTTTTACATAGTTGGATATCTAATGGAGGCCCATTAATGATACGTAGGCCCAACCAATAGACCAAGTCCATGTCGCACCAAGCTCCTCAGACAATTTCAAACAAGCATAAATTTCAAAAAACTGTCACACTCTCTCCAATTTGGTTCTTGATTTTTCTCCACTTTCGCAACATCTCCCAGCCAATTGAAATTCTTTACTTGTAACTAGAGAGAGAGAGAGAGAGAAAGAAAGAGAGACATGAATCCGAACTGGGAGTTGAAGAATTGTTGCAAGCATGATCAAAAAGTCTTTCTTGCAACAATTGGGGTCTTCACTGTCGTCATTCTCGCTGTATGTTGTATTTTTCTGTTTTCTTTCCATTATTTTTCTTATGTTGTTGTCCTTTTCTTGCTTCTTTTGTTTATCGTTACTTTGGTTAGGTTCAAAGTAGAGTTCTTTTTGCTATGTATAATCCTCTTTTATGGATATTTTTGAATTCTTCAAAATATTATGAATTTGCTGGTCCTTCTCAATTTTTTAAACTTTTTTTCCCTTTTGTTTTATGGGATTTCCTAATCGCTGGTTACATGATCTGAAGAACCAAGAGGATAATAAATTAGGCAAGATAGGGATTTCCTGTACACGATCTCTGTAAAAACATCCCGTTGTTGTGTTACTTGATCCTGAGTCTATTGGAATGTAAATTTAACCTACGAGTTAATGTTGCTGATGAATGTGGTTGTTGTTTGTTTTATGTGGAAGAACTTAATTGTCAATACTAATCTCAGCAATCCTATATGCCCAATTGAGTATTGTGTAATTATTGGTTTCTGTAGATGTAGTTAGACTTTGTTGACTTGTGAAACTAGATCAAGATCTGGTTGATAATTTAAAGAACGAGAAAATTTGGCAAGTTACTAAAGATATTCGAGCTCGACTCTGGTTTGACTTGGTTAAAGCTAATTTCATATGGGCTTGTTGAGAAATCAAGCCACATTTGGACCAATAGAAGTCATTGTAAAATCCAAGCAGGCTTGGACAACCTTATTGACTTAGCACGGCTCAATTAAAACCCAAGATGGAGAAGGGGGTGGGGGGGGGGGGAATGTGATATGCCTAGGGATGTTAACATTTTCACTATTAATGCAGCCACGTTAAGCATTTACCTTCATCAACCAATCAGTTTTCCATGTAATTCTAGATTAGACATTGGAAAAGATATAATAACTTTCCTTTGGCCTATTAGTTGACAATTAACACCATTCAGCAATCAGTTTACATGTTATTCTAGATTAGACGTTGCAACAGACACAATTCCATTTAATTTTAAGAATAGAGTAGGATGTTTTCAACGAACAAAATAGGTCACCATTGAATTATTTCTTTTGTTTTCTTTATTGAGCATATTCGTGTAGCCATTTTTTACTCTTTGATTTGATTCCTGTTACTAACATTTAGTTCTATGATGCTCATAACAGTTATGGAGGACATTTCTACTGACACCTTTTAAGCTCATTACTGTATTTCTTCATGAAGCAAGTCATGCAATTGCTTGCAAGCTCACTTGTGGTGAGGTAAAATTTCTTTCTCCATATCGTTTCTATGCATTGAGGTAAAACCTGCTTTCTATACGTTGAAGTCGAAAGACAATTGTTTTCTCTGCAAGTTTTGCTGGGTCTATGGAATAATCCTCGTAGGAGAAAGATGAAATTAGAATATCATACCTTAATGGTCTAATTTGTGATTCAGAATAACAAATCTTGTGAAGTATGTATGTTGTAGCTACTGCAGAGACACTATGGATAAACTCTATCAAGGGAAAAACATATCTATATTTCCTGAACTGTTGCTACATTAAAATGGGGACGTGTTTTCAAGTTACAAATAATCCGTTCCACAATGGTACTTAATTATGACCATAAATTTATGACTTCTAAAATATGAACCTTTATCATATGGTACATAATAGAATGTTAGCATTATTCATCGTGCTCACTGCTCAGTACATAGTATATTATTTTATACCATTGTACACCTTACTGCTATCTTTGTTCAACAGGCTTGATATCTTTTGTTGATTCGATCTCTTCCACTGATCATTGAGCAAAAGATGATTGAAGATACTTGTTTCTTATTATAACATGTAGACTAAACATCTAT